CCCCCTGATCGCCCTGTGGCTCTGTGTGTGACAAGGGGCAGGGTCACAACCTCCCTATCCACCCTGCTCTGTTCGTGACAGGGGAAGGCGCCCCAACCCACTGATCAGCCCTGCTCTGTGCCTGATAGGGGGGAGCTCCCCAACCCCCTGATTGCCCTACGAATCTGTGTGTGACGGGGTGCGGCGCCCCCCCCCCCAAGGGCCCTGCTCTGTGTGTGACGGGGTAGAGCCATAACCTCCCCATCGGCCCTGCCCTGAGTGTGACAGTGGCGGCACCCCAATCCCCTGATTGGTCCTGCTCTGTGTGTGACAGGGGGCGGTGCCCCAACTCCCCTATTGGCCCTAATCTATGCGTGACAGGGGGGAGCTCACCAACCCACTGATAGGCCCTGCTCTGTGTGTGACAGGGTATGGAGCCCCAACACCCCTGATGGGCCCTGCTCTGTGGGTGACAGGTTGTGGCGCCAGAACCTCCCTATCGACCCTGCCTTGAGTGTGACAGGGGGCGGAGCCCCAACCCCCCAATCGGCCGTACCCTGAGCGTGACTAGGGGTGGCATCGCAACCTCCAAATCCGCCCTGCTCTGTGCATGACAGAGGGCGGCGCCCCAACTCACCAATCAGCCCTGCTCTGAGCCCGACCAGGGACTGCACCTAGGGATTGGGCCTGCACTCTGCCACCAGGAAGCAGGCCTAAGCCAGAAGGTCATTATCTCCCGAGGGGTTCCAGACTGCGTGAGGGCACAGGCAGGGCTGAAAGACCCCCTCTCCCCCCTGAGTGCACAAATTTTTGTGAACCGGGCCTCTAGTAATATATAATAATAAAAGAAAAATTTCTCCAAGGAAAAAATAGCAATCCTAAACTTGTATATACATAATTATAAAGCTCCCAGATTCATAAAGCAAACTATTTTCAAAGTTTATTTGTTGAATAAATGGAAAAATTATAGATAAATTATTAGGATTAATAAGAGAGCTGAATGAGTCTACTGGATACAAGACCACTACACAAATGCCATTTCTGTTAAAATCACCTTAAAATATACTTGTGAAATACAATTTTTAAAAAGGATGCCATTTATAATCTCAGCTAAAAATGTAATACTTATAAATTGAAAAAATATGTGTAGACTCTTAAGATCCTTAAGAAAAAAATGATAAAACTTTATTGAATGATACTTAAGAAGAGCTAAATAAATGGATAGGTATACAAGATCTACAGATAAGAAGATTATGCCATAAAGATGTTAATCTTGTTCAAATTAATCTATAGACAATGAAATTCCAATCAAGGTATGACAGAATCATTCATGAAACTTGAGAAACCTAATACAAAATTATCAAAGAACACAACCAAATCAAAGCAATTTTAAAGAAGGGATTGGAGATACTTGTCCTACCAGA